GAGATTCTTAAGCAGAAATTAATAGTATACATGCTTCAGGAGTATTAAATCATCCATGATAAACAATTCCCAGGCAATAAATAAATTTTCTGTATTGCTTAATACCTCCCAGATATCAGGATCAAGAACTTGGCAAGGCAGGTAAAAAGATTTGTGCACATGGATTTTGTGCACCCTAAGAATTGTGCACATGGATAGAACAACCCTTTTGCCATCTACATACTAGGACCATCTATAAAACAAAAAGCAAAGTAGACATCTGTCAATTAACCAATTAGCCTAATTAATGTTTTCTCTCAATGTAGATAGGTAACAAATTAATGACTAGGCAAGTACGAAATCTCTACTTTGTTTTATGTGGTGTAGATACAGTTAATGAATCATGAATGTGTGATACTCTTTGCCAGCAGTTACAGAACACACTTGGAACTTCTTTGGAAATCTGCTTTGATCTCTTGTTTGAAGTCATGTGCCAATATTTTGGACCCGTGACATCAACTATCACCACCTGCAGGCTATTAAAGAGCTGAAACTACCCAGGTAGAATTGACACCAAGAGAAGTTTCAGTACAACACAGTCATGTGTTGAGGGAAGATTTGTCTAGGTGTTCAGGAAGCTCAATAAAGTTGCAAATATTTTTTTTAAATGTATACAAACACACACACAGACACCTATATATATATATATATATATATATACACATTATAGAGAGAGAAAAAGGAAGAAACAAAAAGACTTTCAGTTTTCTGTAGTCCAAATCAGGATTAAAGCAGTATTTAGGATATTCTCAGTAAAAACTGGATATTATATTTCTTTATAGGAATCAACAAAATAGAGCAAATTTACCTGAGGATACTTTGAGGTTCTGTCACTTTCCCCATCATGCTGACCCAAAAACCTGGAGGATACACAGTAACAAAGAAACCAATTCCATGGGGCAAAAGTCTTATTTTGAATAACATCTTATTATAACTGACTTTGAGCCAAAAGAAAAATGTGGCTTTGGGCTGGGGGGGAGGGGGGTGCAGAGGGTGGGGAAGCAAAGGGGGAAGGAATTTATTCCATTTCTGTTGTCTGATTCACAAGTGCTGTTAAATATTTACCAGAAATCTGACAGCCGTTTCTTAACATTTGTTAATCACAGATAACATCATTCCATTAACAACTCAATAAACTTCTTTAAGGTTGTGCAAGGTAAGTCTCACTACCTTAACACTGCTAACCCGTCCTTGGTAGAATAAATATTTGTTTTCGATTTCTCTATGCCAAGTTTTATGGGATCGTGTAATCTAAATCTCCTTTTGTAAATAAGGTATGCCCTCAAGAGGATGAGAGTGCAGAATCTAAAGCCTTGTCTGCATTCTCTCTACAGGTCCTTGAATAAAGGGTTTCATGTCTCCAGAAAAATAGACTTCAGGCACTTCTGACAAGTACCCCAGCAGGAATGTCTTTGAGAAATATTTCAATGACAGTTTAAGGCTCCTTTGCACACATTTTCCCATATCCTCCAGCGTGTGTTGTCGTACATCTATCAGGGCACCCATGGCTGAAGATCGTGTTTTCCATTTTTCTGATTATCCTTACTTCTTTGTAACAATCTTCATAGAAGTCCAGCCTAATTTCTTTCCCAGAGCCTGTGTCGTACAGATCCTGATTTTCATGATTAATCTTACCCTGAATTAGCTGGGATAGAACTCTGATGATAGGTCATCCTGTGATGGTCATTAGCTGCCACCTGCACAAACACATCACTGAATGGGACTTGGGGTACATTGGTCTTGTATACGGAGTAGAAAGCTGCCTACATGGAGTGACTTCTCCAACCAGCCACACACACAAGTAACCTTTCCCCACTCACTGGTACTAAATTTCTATATAGAGGGTAAGTCATTTCACCAAAAACTCTCATAGCAAAGTACGTGGTAAGCATGGTAACTATTTATTATTATTACTATTATTATTATTAGAATTCTACTTCTATAAAATACTCTAGGAAATGAAAAAAAATAACTCTATACAATACTGTAGGAAATGAAAAAAATTATTACTCATGTAAAAATGAATGACATCAGATTCTTCCTGAAAATATGTTTTGATAGAGGGAAGGGGAATGAAGAGAGGATAAATTACACTTATTAAGGAAATATCATGTCCCAAACTTTGTACTAGGTGCTTTACATAAATTGTTTCATTTTCATTCCTGCAGCCATGGTAAGCTATAGATAACATTACCTTCACTTTAGAGATGAATGAACTAAGTCTCAGAGGAATTAAGAAGTTTGTCCAAAGTCCCATGCCTGGTAAATAGTATGTTTGGTATTCAAATAAGTCATTTTAGCACAAAAGCTCAAACTAGTGAGGACTAGGGGTGATGAATCGCAGACCATGAAAAGCAGTGTACCTAAGATTTGAGTAAAGACAGGCTGGAAATGACCATAATATTTGGACAATTTGTCCTAAGTCAGACTATATCTAATAGAATTACTCTCTGCCCTTTTCCCCATTTTATCTAAAAGGAAGAAGTGTGTATGTGTGTGTGTGAGAGAGAGAGAGAGAGAGAGAGAGAGAGAGAAAGGAAGGAAGGAAGGAAGGAAGGAAGGAAGGAAGGACGGACACCAGACTCTTAGTTCCTTGAAAAAGAATGAGTTAAACTCTCTTACAAGTTTTTACCCAGATAGTGTTAAAATAAATATTCCAGGAAAGAAAGATTCAGAATTAGAAAAGCCGTAAGTGACACAATTGTCATTTCCAGCATTTAAATCAAGACCAATCACACAGAGCTCAGTGTTAGCCTGAGTCCCTTCCACCTAGTTTTCCGCTCTCCTTGCCAATAACCAGTCTATTTCATAAAGGAGTCCAAGGCACTGTGAACATGAAAATTAACTTTAAAATACTTCCTGAAGCATTACCAGAAATCATGTTTTCAATGTCTAAATGACTTGCATTGTTCTAAGTTTCCAAGCTGTGCCCAAGACCACAAAGATAAATGGGGCATTGGGACAACCATGTGAAGGACTATGTTGCAACATGAAATAAGTATACTGTTCAGCGTGAGTCATTTGCAAACAGAAAGAAGAATGGCTAGAAAAGGTAATGCTTCAGGACAAGAATACTTCAAATAAGACACAAAAACTTGTCTATATTCACATTCAGGTCAGGAAATACCACATGAGCTGAATGTTTGAGAACCAGCTGGCTGTGGATCACCCGGATTCAACAACTCAATTAATCCTATCTTCAGCTCTACAGCATAATCTGTGGTTCTCTACTTGAGCCACACAACAGAATCACCTGAAGAGGTTTTTTTGTTTTTAAACAACACTGATACCTGGGCTCCAACACCAGACATTTGGATTAATTGGTATAGGGCGGGGGCCAGGCTCTAATATTTTTGTAAAGCTTTCTAGGTGACTCATTGTGAGCCAGGGTTGAGCCCTACTATACTAACAGTACAAAATGAATTTAGAAAGTTTATCCCCACCCCTTAGGGCTGCCAGAACTGCCATCATGACTTTCACCTGGGAGTAGTTGGCCAAGTGACTGATGCCTGAGATGCAGTTGCCACATCTCTAAAATAGAGAGGAGAAGATCTTTCAGGCATGTGCTTTAGCATGGGGCTCAGATCATCATATTTTCAAAATAAATGTCTATGAGCCTAGACACTTTATTTTTCTTCAATCATATGCCTCTAGAATGAACAGAGAATATAACTTGTATGTGAACATATCTCTTAGATGTAACATTATTTCTTTTGCCTCTAACTTAAATTATGGCTTTAGAATACCCAAATTATTGGCTTGAAAGTAGGAAAATACTATCAACTAATATTTGTTCTATCTCTATATTCCCAAATTAGAAAAAGTGTTTCTGATGTGATGTTTGTTAATTTTATCTATTTTGTTTAAAACCGACCAGCTAGCCCTATACTTACGGCTTTATATCAAAGTTGGTAGTCTTGGTAACAAAAAACTCCGACTTACTGTTTGGACTTCAAATACTGTGTACCCTGTATTACTAAGAAATTCATGTCATTTTGTTGTAAGGTTGAAGGAAGAATTGAATTTGCATCTCTTTTATCTCCATTGTGCTACCACAGTTCCTCAAATAAAGTGGATGTTTACTATATATCTGTTAAATTTATTTCCAAAGACTTACTTCAGTGTTCCAATGATTAAATGATGAAACACAGACATATGACCCCAACCCTTGGTATCTGCTGTCAAAGATTCTAGAATCAAGCAAGTGAAAGCACCAATATTTCCTGTGCTACCGTATAGCTTAAATTTCAGAGTATTTTTTTGCTTTCATGAAAGTTTTATGAAAATCTGTATTTCTATATTTTGAGGGGTAGATGTTATTTCCTTTCTATTCTGGATCTGTAATCAAATCTTTGACAAATTAGTGAGATTTTCCTCCATGAATGTAGAAGGAACAGAAAGCCAACAAATAAAGATACTTCACAGAGGCATTTTGTCATTTGTAAAGAATTTTAGAGTACAGGGTAATTCTTTCTTGGCGAGAGCGAAAGTGAGAGAGAGAGAGAGAGAGAGCACAGAGAGCAGGGGAGAAGCAGAAGCACACTCCCCACTGAGCAGAAAGTCTGACATGGGGCTCGGTCCCGGGACCCCAAGATCATGACCTGAGCTGAAGGCAGACACTTAACTGACTGAGCCACCCAGGTGCCCCCCAGGGTAATTCTTTCTTAGTGAATAAATAAAATGCCGCATTTTATAGAAGAGCACTCCTTAAATCATAGTAATAAAGGATAAAAGTATGACCCTATGTGACAGAAACTGTTAGTTGCTACCCAATATTTAGCTCCTACACTTTATTCCTTAGGGTCGAAATGTGCCGAGACTCAAGTGATAGTCTATGATTAGACTGAGTCAATCATAACAATTTTGTTCCTTTATTTCCCAGCCTTCCTTACAACTAGGAATAGTCACATGATCTAATTCTGGCCATGAAATGTAGAGGGAAGTCTGCCAGTTTTGTGTACCTGTTAAAAAGGAACAGACACTGAGGCATGGCTCTTTCCTCCAGCTTCTGATTTGAATAAGGTATCCTTAGATGACTGAAGCTTCAGAAGCCATCTTGTGACCATAAGGCAGCAATCCTAAGAACAAAAGATAACAAAATAAGAACCATGGAGCTGAAAGATAAAAAGATCCTGGATCTTTGATGGAATCATCAGGAGATGAATCAATGCCAGCAAACACCTATTGCAGACTTTTTATTATATGTGAAAAATTACTTAGAAGAAAACCACAATTTCCATGTATGAAATATTATGAAGCATAATATCTTCTCCCTATAAAATTCATAAGATAGTAACATTTCATCTGTGAGTGAGAAATAGTTTTTCATAACAAATCAATCATTAGGAAAGACATTTCAAACCCAATTTCACTGTTGCCCTCATTTTCCTTCCAGACCCCTGGCATTAAAAACAAACTCTATTACCTCAGACCACTACAGTCCTTACTGCCCTATCAACAGCTTGTCTTTCCATCTCTCTCAAATATATATGTGTTCATAATATACACATAATATATACTCAACTTCTCTGAATAATTCCATTCTCTTTAAAACATAGTTTTGAATGTTTGGAAAAGTGATAATAATGTGAGCAATAGGGTTTTTTGACTGCACAGGAGGTTATTCTAACATACTTTAATTCCCATGACTAGCCCAATGCCCTTGCATTTTTTTTTTTTTAAGGCATAGTAAACTGACCATTTAAATCAACTGTGTCCAAATTAAGGAGGTGTGAGCAAACTTATTTCCAAATTAACCAAAATGAGATACCCACAGAATAGCACAAGAGAGTAAAGATCTCTTAAACAGTTTTTCACCCATGTAACTCATCAGAGATCAGGATTGAGAGAATGAATTTACCTGGAAAACCCAAAAGCTATCTTCTAATCCTGATTACTTGCACAGACTTGGAAAATTACCTAAATTCTTAATGCCCTAAATACTAAATATACATAATAATAATTCTTCCTGTTTACACATAAAATGCTAAGGAAATTACCAATACCTCATAAGATGTTGAGGAAATTGCCAGTAAATTTTAAAGTAATGCACATAACAGTGCTATTAAAATGTTTCTTCCCAGGTCACCTAAGAGTCTGTTAAGCTTCCAACTCTTGATTTTGGCTCAGGTTATGATCTCAGAGTCTTCAGATCAAGCTCTGGGTCAGGCTCCATGCTCAGTGGGAATCTGCTTGAGATTCTCTCTCTCCCTCTGCCCTACCCCCTGCATTCTCTCTCTCTCAAATAAATAAATCTTAAAAAAAAAAAAAAAAGAATGAGGAACACAGGAAATAATATAGAAAGACAGAGGAAAGGGGTGAAGAAGTTAGGGAGGAAGGAAGAAAGAAAGAAACACAAACTACCAAATCAGTATGAGTGGGGAATATAACCTAGAGACAGTAAAAGGACAACAAGGAAAAATTATAAACAACTTTATGATAATAATTTGACAACTTTAATGAAATGGTTAAATTCCTTGAAAAATATGATCTATCAAAACTCACTAAAAAGAGATAACCTAAATAGTCCTATATCATGGAAAATGAATTTATAGTTTCAAAACTTCCTACAAAAGAAAAGCCCGGACCCAGATAGTTTTACTTACTGATTTTATCAAACACTTAAGAAAAAAATGCCATGTATACACAAATTCTCATGGAAAAAAATAAAGTGGGGGGAGGGGCACTGTAGGCACATCCCCATTCATTCTATGAGGGCATCATTACCCTAATACCAAAACCAGATAAAGACATCCCATTAAAAAAAGTAAAGACCAATATATCTCATGAACAAAGACACAAAATTCTTCAGCAAAATTTTAGCAAATTTAATCCAACTATATAAAAAGAATAAAACACTGTATATTTTGGTTTTACTCCAGAAACACAAGGCTGTTTTAATGTTCAAAAATCAATCAATGCAATTCATTAATTCTAGAGCCTACAAAAGGAAAGACCATATAATTAAATCAACAGATACAAAAAAGGGCCTTGACCAAATTTAACATCCCTTCATTTTAAAAACTCTCAGCAAACTACTAAGAGAACTTCTTGAAACTAAGAAAGAGCATCTATGAAAAACTTACTACTAATATCACACTAAATACTGACAGACTGAGTGCATTCCTCCTAAGTTCAGAAACAAGACAAGGACGTCCACTCTATTTCTATTCAACACTGTTGTGGAGGTCCTATCCAGGATAATAAGGCAAGAAAAATAAATCAAATGTATATGTATAGGGGGGAAATTATACTCCTTTTTATTCCCAGAAAATATGATAGCCTATGTAGAAAAACCTGTGAGATCTACTCATAAAGAAATGTTATTAAAATCAGTGAGTTTACCAAGATTGCAAGATATAGGGTCAATCTATAAAAATCCATTGTATTTCTCTATGCTAGCAACAAACAATTGGGAATTAAAATTTAAGATAAAGCATTACCACTTACCATAGCACCAGAAAATATTAAATATTTAGGGATAACCTTAAATATGTATAAGATATATAAGTGGCAAATATAAAACATTGCTGCTAAAATTAAAGACCTAAAGAAATTAAGAAATATATTGTGTTAATCAAGCAAAAGATTCAGTATTGTGAACATGTCATTTCTTCTCAAGTAGATCTAAAGATTCAACACAATCCCAATAAAAACTCAGAAACCTTTTTTTTATAGAAACTATCAAGCAGATTCTCAAATTTCTATAGAAATGCAAATGATCTAGAACATATATTTTTCAAAAAGATCAAAGTTGTAGAACTTATACTACCTGATTTCAAGACTTTATTATAAAGCTTCAATAATCAAGATAGTATGACTTAAATATATACATACGGATGAATGGAACAGAACAGAAAATACATAAATACAGGTAGGTCATATTTGGCCAATTCATTTTTATAAAGATGTCAGGGAAATTCAATAGAGAGGGGATAATCTTCTCAACAAATGGTACTGGAACAACTGACTCCCTATGCAAAAATAATAACAAACCTCACAACATACATAAAAATTAACTTAAAGTAACTCACAGGCCTACATGTAAAGCCTAAAGTTATAAAACTTTGAGAAGAAAACAGAGGAAAAAGTTCTTTCTGTCCTTGAGTTAAACAAAGATTTATTCTTACAGGGCACAAGAAACAAGAACTATAACAGGAAAAAAAAAAAAAAAAAGAGGGTGCCTGGGTGGCTCAGTTGGTTAGGCGACTGCCTTCGGCTCAGGTCATGATCCTGGAGTCCCGGGATCGAGTCCCACATCTGGCTCCCTGCTCGGCGGGGAGTCTGTTTCTCCCTCTGACCCTCCTCCTTCTCGTGCTCTCATTCTCTCTCTCGCAAAAAAAAAAAAAAAAGAATGAATTTGATTTCATCAAAATTTAAATATTTAAAAGCCACTGTTAAGAAAATGTAAATGCAAGCCATAGATGGAGAGAAAAATGTTTGGGAAAACCTGTATCTGTCAAGAGCTATGAAGGGTCTGAGATTTTATACTCACAGCAAAACGACACATTAGCCTGCCATGGTTTCATGGATTCTAACAGAGGACCTGAGACTCCTGCATCATAAAAAAGGACTTCATTACTCACAGCAGAACAAAACCTACAGGGGTGACGTGCAGCTGAGCCCCAGCAGACACTGCACATGGAGAGGATTTGCATCACCCCTCAGTAACTCCAAGCTTAGAAAAGCCCATTTTTTTCAAGAGCAGCAAGCAAACCTGGGAGATACTCTTTGTTACCTTAGCAAACAAATTTTCCCTTTCCCAAAGGAAGACACTATCTCAATTGTCCAAGGCTTTTTTGCTATACAACCACCTTTAAAAACAGAGTCTGGAATAATAGGCGTCAGTGTCTCTGCTGGTAAAATCTGCAGAAACATGAGAATTCCAAAGAGAATTCTCTCCCAACAGTATCCAATGAAGAAAGTATGTCCAGAGCATATAAAGAGTTCTCAAAATTCAATAATAAGACCAACCACTCACAATTTTAGCAAAATAATTGAACAGACACTTCACTCAAAAGATATATAGATGGGGAAAAAACCATATGAAAACTATTCAACATCATTAGTCATTAGAAAAATATACATTAAAACTCACAATGCAAAATCCCAACCCACCTTTTAGAAGAGCTAAAAGTTTTAAATAGCAAGCGCTGGTGAGGACATGGGGCAACTGGAAATCTCAAACACTGCTGTTAGTAATGCAAGATGATACTTTGGAAAATAACCTGGCATTTTCTTATAAAGTCAAACACATCCTGACCACTCAATTCAATTTCACTCCCAGCTATCTCACCAAGATAAATACAAACGTATGTCCACACAAATGCCACGAGTCCTTCCAACTCATTATTTCATCTGTTTGCCAATGATAGTGCAGTCCTTGCCTGTGGACCAGCTGACTCAACAGTGAAGCCCCAGGCTTTTTTTTTTTAAATGCTGGAGTAGGGGACACAGGTTTTCCTGGACTACAAACAGAACCGGCCTTTGTGCCTCTGTTTTTGCCACCTTCAAACCAAATGTATATGCTAAAGTCTACAGCAGCTTTATTCATAGTAGACAAAACCAGGATGTTGGGCACTAAATTCCCCCTGGAACCTCCTGTGTTCTTGCAAATCGAGGCAGTGACTGCCTTTGTTTCCAGTGATCTCTAGAACATGTAGAACAAACATATAAGACACATATAGACTCATACAGAACAAAGAGCCTTGGAAGATAGAGTTTCCCCCTCTAAGGAAAGGATGGGTATATTTTGCTACCCAATACAATAAAGATAATGCCTGCCTCTGCATCAAAAGACAGGTTTACTGCCCATAAAAGAAAAGACTCGAGTTCCCTAAGCTCAGGAGTTCTCTTCTATGAAGCAACCATTGCCTGGCCCTCTACATCTCAACCTCTGCAAATAGCGGCTCAGGAAACAGGCACAAATGTTAAGATTCTGACTGTGCTGTTGCCAGAATACATTGCCCTTGTTTGGTGGACCAGGAATCTCATGTTTTTACTATAAATAAAGGATTCATGAAACTGTGGCAGCAACTGGGTAGCTTGATGGGGAGGGTTAACCATTCACAACTCTTGA